CCATTTATATAGCGCCAACAGATTCCGTAGCACTTTGCAATATTATTAGAGGGGGGATTTAACTATAAATAGGACAATTACAAGAAAACTTACAGGAGCGATAGGTTGAAGAGGGCCCTGCTCAAACGAGCTTACAGTCTATATTAATCCTGGATGACTTGTTAGATCTGAAGTAAGAAAATGTTTAATCCTAATATATTTTAAATATTTCTCGTGATGGAAGAGCATACCTTTCCTGTAAGTTGGAAAAATATGGTATTCCCTATCATAAAGATCTGAAATTATTTTTTGCCATTGCAAAATATCTAGATCTTCTATATACAGTGGAAGAGACAAAATAGGACTAGCTGTTTGTCCCTTTTCAATTCTCTTTCTGAATCTAAAAAAACAGGTCATCAATACCGATACTATTTGATTCAATATTTTAAGTTGCCTAAAATGTTCATAGACCAGCAGGGATCTATCCCTCCACATTTACTCCTTTCTAGATTATACCATCCCAGATTTGTATTTCTTTTAATGTTTAACATAAATAGATGGGAGAGCATACATGTTTCATGAATTTTATGGATATCCCAGTCCTCCTGAGTTTATGTTTCTCTTGAGTACATAACCAGGTACTCTTGTTTTTTTTTTAGCATTACACACATATGAAGACAACATTTTTTTCCATTTCTTTTATTATATTAAATGGAACTGGGATCGGAATATGCAATTTTTGGGACCAGATATGATTTAAGCATGTTTACACGTCCAAGCCAAGAGATCCCTAAACCCTTCCACCTATCTACTGTCTCCCTAAGATCTATCATCAAATCCATGTAATTTTTATACATTGTGGACCTTGAATCTGAGCAGAGATTAATTCCTAAATATTGTATTTCTTTATTAGACCAATTTAATGTTTCATATCTTTCTCTTAAGGATAGAAAATTAGAATTAGATATATAAAAATACATAATTTGAGTTTTTGAAAAATTAAGTTTACAATTTGAAAATATACTAAATGTCTGTAATATCCTAATAACTTCTGGAAAAGAACACTCCGTAGAAGATATTGTGAGAAGAATGTCATCTTCATAAAGGGTGACCAGGTGGTCCTGTTGTCCAACCATCATTCCTTTAGCTTGAGAAAGCTGCAAATTGAGGTAACACGTTAATTATTGGAGATTTTAATTATCCAGACATAAATTGGGAAAGAGGGACTAGTACTTCAGCAAGGGACATCAGGTTTTTGAATGTGTTAAATGACACCTTTATGTCTCAACTGGTACAAGCACCAACTAGAAAGGATGCTTGTCTGGATCTTGTCATAACAAACAATGTTGATCTTTTAACCAACATTCAAGTAGGGGAGCATTTGGGAAATAGTGATCACAATATGGTAAATTTTGAAATAAACTAAAAAAAGCAAAAGCAAGTGGGGTATACTAAAACATATAATTTTAAAAAAGCCAATTTCAATAAGATTATGGCAGCTCTACAACATATCGACTGGCATAAACTCCTTAGTGATAAAAACACTGAGGATAAATGGAAACTATTCAAACAAATATTAGAAAGGTACATTTCTCAGTATGTACCATTGGGTAATAAATATAAAAGAAACAAATTAAAACCAATGTGGCTTAGTAGGGTAGGAAAACAAGAGATTAAAAATAAGAAAAGGGCATTTAAAGCATTTAAATCAGACAAATCAAAGGCATCCTATTTAAGATATAAGGAAGCCATTAACGCTTGCAAAAAGGCAATTAAAGTGGCTAAACTAGAAAATGAGAAATTGATAGCTAAAGAATGCAAAACCAACCCCAAAATTTTTTTCAAGTACATCAATTCTAAAAAAACAAAAAAATGAAAGTGTAAGTACACTGGAAACAGAGTTGGGCTTATTAGCTAATGAAGACCAGGAAAAAGCCTAAATTTTAAATAACTATTTTTCTTCAGTATATATTAATGAGGATCCTATGGCAAGAGATATGCAAATGATTGCTGCAAAAAACTTGCAAATAACTTGTGATTGGATAACTCGAGACAAGGTGCTACAGCTATTAAAGAAAATGAATGTAAATAAAGCTCCGGGGCCTGACGGTATTCACCCACGAGTACTTAAGGAGCTAAGTGGGGAAATAAGTGAACCTCTGTATTTAATTTTTCAAGATTCTTTTGTTTCAGGTGTTGTACCAGAGGATTGGAGGAAGGCAGATGTTGTTCCTATATTTAAAAGGGTTCAAAATCCTTGCCTGGAAATTATAGACCTGTGAGCTTAACTTCTGTAACTGGGAAAATATTTGAAGGGCAATTAAGGGATAATATTCAGGAATTCATTGGGAAGAACTTTGTTATTAGCAATAATCAGCATGGTTTTATGAAACATAGGTCATGTCAAACTAACCTAATTGCATTCTACGAAGAAGTAAGCAGAAGTATAGATCAGGGTGTTGCAGTGGATGTGATCTACTTGGATTTTGCCAAGGCATTTGATACTGTTCCTCACAATAGGTTAGTCTTCAAACTAAAAGAAATTGGTCTAGATGAATATTCTTGTTCTTGGGTAGAACATTGGCTTAAGGATAGAGTACAACGAGTTGTAATTAATGGTAAATTTTCAGGCTGGACAAAAGTGGTAAGTAGTGTCCCTCAGGGTTCTGTTTTGGGACCACTTCTATTTAACATATTTATAAATGATCTTGAAATAGGCATTGAAAACCATGTATCAGTGTTTGCAGATGACACAAAACTTTGTAAAGTAATAAAATGTGAGCAGGATATTGCTTTGCTGCAGAGAGATTTGGATAGATTGGGGGACTGGGCACTAAATGGCAGATGAAATTTAACATAGAGAAATGCAAAGTTATGCACTTCGGGGTTAAGAATGCACAAGCAACTTACACACTAAATGGTAGTGAATTAGGGATAACCACACATGAGAAGGATTTGGGAATTGTTATAGATAACAAATTAGGCAGTAATATGCAATGTCAATCTGCAGTTGCTAAGGCCAGTAAGATTTTGTCATGTATAAATAGGGGCATAAATTCTCGGGATGAAAATATAAATTTGCCTCTTTATAAATCGCTGGTAAGACCACACTTTGAATATGCTGTGCAATTTTGGGCGCCTGTTCTAAAGAAGGATATCATGGCACTGGAGAGGGTCCAGAGACAAGCTACAAAATTGATAAAAGGAATGGAGCATTTTAGTTATGAAGAAAGGTTAAAAAAAATTAAATCTGTTTAGTTTGGAAAAACGGCGCCTGAGAGGGGATATGATAACTTTATACAAATATATTCAGGGCCAGTACAAACCTTTATCTGGAAATCTATTCATAAACAGGGCTATACATAGGACACAACGTCACACATTTAGGCTGGAAGAAAGGAGATTTCATCTAAGGCAAAGAAAAGGTTTTTGTTCAGTAAGAACAATAAGGATATGGAATTCTCTGCCTCAAGAGGTGGTTTTGTCAGAGTCCATACAGATGTTTAAACTGAAATTGGATAAATACTTACAAAAACATAACATGCAGGGATATAATTTCTAATTAGTGGGGTAATAGCTGCTTGATCCAAGGAGACATCTGACTGCTATTTTGGGGTCAAGAAGGAATTTTTTTCCTAGTTTGTGGCAAAATTGGAAGCGCTTCAGACCAGGTTTTTTGCCTTCTTTTGGATCAACAGCAACAACATTTGTGAGGAAGGATGAACTTGATGGACGCAAATCTCTTTTCAGCTATGTAACTATGTAATTGTAGGGGTCTTTCTTAATAGGGCTGCCAAAGTTTCCACCATAAGAACATAAAGGAAAAGGGTTAATGGACAACCCTGACGGGGGCCATTTCGAATCTTCATGTTCAAGGAATTAAAGAAGGGACCATTGATCCTTGCAGTGGGAAGCGTGTATAGTGCCATAGTCCTTTCAGCAAATGGACCTGTAAGTCCAAACACCCGCAGAGTCTGAGCCATAAACCTCCAATTTTCGCCATCTAAGGCCATAATGATAGATGGAGTTTTCTTATGGTGGGTTTCATCTAAGATGTTAATGACCTTGCGGGTGATAAATTTAATCTCTGTGATATAATTGTGATATAATTGATCTTACAAATTAAAATTAGATATCTCCCCATATCATCAGAAACATGGTGTATATATTCAAACTTGACGCCTGAGGATATTATTATGGCCACCCCACGTTTTTTTCCTACCCAAAAAGCTAGATGTATAAATATTTGTGTAACGGACCGTTTCAGCACACAAGGGGTTAAAACCGTTTAGGCGATCGTCCCCTTCCAGAGATGCAGGCACAGCTACTGCAGAACACCAATCAGCCGAACAGGAAACCATATGAAGGCTGTAAACAGCCGAATAGGAAAAACCATCCGAATAGGTTTACACTCCTAGCAGTCGAACTGGAACAGCATACAATAAATCCCCCCAAGAACGAGACAAAGCTCCATGTTGAGGGTCAAGCAGTGAACAGTCAGAGCTGTGGGTTTATTGTGCTTATGTACACATTCTTTAGAATATATTATTATGTCTATGTTCATTAATGAGATTGGTCTATAATTACTTACCTTAGTAGGGTCTTTGCCTGTTTTTAAAATAGGTGTAATAGTGGCTTTGAGCATTTCTTAAGGAAATCCATTTGATCCAACTATGGCACCATACACGTGTTCCAACAGAGGAGTAATCTTAGGTTGTAAGATCTGGTAAAAAAGAGCTGTGAAGCCATCAGGACCTGGGGCCCCTCCCCCCCATATATATTTAATTGCATTCCTGATTTCTATCTGGCAAAAATGTTTATTAAGTATATTTATTTTTTCTAAAGATAGTACTGGGAGGTCTAGAGATCTTAAGCAATCTTCCATATCTAAGTCAGTTTTATTGTGTTCGGGTTGTTTATATAGAGATTCATAATATGCTCTAAAAGCCTCGGTGATATGGAGAGGAGAAAGACAAACCACTCCCTCATTTGTTATATGTTTAATTATATTTCTTTGATCCTGGGCTTTTACTTTATTTGTTAAGGCTCTACCTACTCTATTATTGAATAATACCATCTTTGTTTAAGACGTAGTAATGTATAGTTAGTTTGTTCTTAATCTCTTGTTGGATGATTATTATTATTTCTCTACATATTTCAGAAGGATGTAGCTTGTTTCTTTTCTCCAGACCGGCAAGGCAAATATGGAGATCAGCCAGTGATTTACCTTGTTTCTGTTTCATATAGATTTCCTGATTAATCAAATAACCCCTAAGGAAACATTTCAACGAGCACCATAGGGTGAAATCTGAGACAGCTTCATTATCATTCTCTTGAAGAAAAAGTTCAGCAGCCTTCAATAACTCTTTCTTATTAGACTCAGAAGTTAATATAAAATCTTTTAATCTCCATTTTGAACGACTCTTATAATGAGGATTATTATTTTTTTTTTTAAATACAGGGGCGTGGTCTGACCAACTTCTGTTCGCTATTTGTGAGTTGATACAAAGATCTAAAGATGTTGCTTTCATAAGGAATAAATCAATTCGGGAATATGCAACATGGGGGTTTGAAAAGAAAGAGAAATCTCTTTCCTTAGGGTGTTGTATTCGCCATATATCATATAGATTGTATCTATATGAACTTTGCTAGAGCCTTCGATTGAGTCAGATCTCTCTTGTTAATTTTAGTATTTTTAATTAATCTCTTTTTGTCTAACTGAAAGCAAGCTATACAATTTAAGTCTCCTGCCAAAACAAGAGTACCCTTAGAAATCTGTTCCACTATTTGCATAGTAGAATCTAAAAAACATGTTGGATGATCTGAAGATGCATATAAGTTCACTAGGGTAAATGTGATATAATTGATCTTACAAATTAAAATTAGATATCTCCCCATATCATCAGAAACATGGTGTATATATTCAAACTTGACGCCTGAGGATATTATTATGGCCACCTGTCACGTGCGTTGGCTATAGGCCCAGCCGAGACAGTGGGGGGAGTGTGGAAGTGACAGGGTTAATGACACCAGACCCCTGGTTACCTGTTGCTAGTCCCAGCAACCACTCAATTAACCCCTGCAATCCCTTCTACACTATCCCCTTTAGTACTACTGCCACCACCAAGACTTTTAAACCCGGGCGTCTTAGGTTACCCCACACACAGGAGAATTCTAGTATCACCGTTCTACTTTTACTGATAAAACATATATAGTTAACCCCTTTTGGTAACGTGTTTACCTGAGCTTTCCTCTGGAGAGTGAAGCTCATAGAGAACAGAGACACAAGCTGATTAAGTAAACATTTAATCTGACAAAAAGGATTCACAGTGCTGAGTACAAAATACAGAAATAAATGACATACAGATAACAAATTGCAAAACAGTACATAAAATAAAATAGGAGAAAACACAAGAAATTCCTTACATATATTTACCCCATATAGAATTCTTGTGGGAGTCTTAGATGGTATAGGTCTCCTAGAAGTTACTGACAAAAGAAAAATGAATAACTGACTTCCCTGGATAGCCCAACACCCTCATATATCTAAACTAGTTGTTTCTCAGTGGGCAGACCCCTGGGGGGATATCAGAGGGGGTTGGTCTGGCAGTCTATTGCCCACTCTATGAAATTCCTTGTGTCCAGCTCTGGTGATGGCTATCTAGATGTTTTATGGTCTAGGCCTGGTGCCAGATCAAAGACCACAATAAACGTCATCCCAAGGTTTACAAAAAAAAACATCTCTTAACATATATAAACACACATCAAACACAAACTCATGCTTTTGGCATGACACCACCCCACGTTTTTTTCCTACCCAAAAAGCTAGATGTATAAATATTTGTGTAACGGACCGTTTCAGCACACAAGGGGTTAAAACCGTTTAGGCGATCGTCCCCTTCCAGAGATGCAGGCACAGCTACTGCAGAACATCAATCAGCCGAACAGGAAACCATATGAATGCTGTAAACAGCCGAATAGGAAAAACCATCCGAATAGGTTTACACTCCTAGCAGTCGAACTGGAACAGCATACAATAAATCCCCCCAAGAACGAGACAAAGCTCCGTGTTGAGGGTCAAGCAGTGAACAGTCAGAGCTGTGGGTTTATTGTGCTTATGTACACATTCTTACACATTAGTACCACCCACAGGGTTTTGGAACACAACCAATAAACACATACAATACACTCAGACACTCCCACACAAAATCCTCCCCTCTGCTTGTGATTCAATTACCTTACACAATGGGTAATGTAATTTAGCACAAGCAGAGAAATAAAATTTTTCCACATTATTCATAACTTGAAAAGTATGCATCACATTCACATAAAATCAGCATACTCCAAATACAAACATACGTCAAAATCATACAAATTGGTCCAGTGGTTCAAAAGATAGATCGTAGTCCTTTGTGACCACAGGAAGCATGGCTTTTCTGCCCAAAACCAGTTCCACAGAGTCTTCTATCCTGGAGATAATTAGAAGTAATCCAATTATCTCCAAAGACAGAGGCAAAACTCCATTGAACACATGGCAGCAAAAAGACAGTAAAATACAATAAAATACACAAGGTTACATTTATGACATAAAATACAGACATGCAACATATGCCCAGATAGCTTAGGTCTGAGCGCACATTATTACTGAATGGCGCTCAGAGCACACACATACAGTTCAATTGCCATGGAGCCAAAGTCTTTCCCATAGTCTTTCATTATACGAATGGGCTCCATGGCATAGCTATCTGGGGTATCACTGCTCAAACAGGGCAAGCACCAAATGACCCGGCTTTCTTGTCTTTGCAGGGGAAAATCAAGCCTTTTAACATGGGGCCATAATCCAAAGGCAACAGGCGAGCAACCAGGCTTCTCCAATGCAATGTGGCGAGATTGCTCTTGTCACATCTCTCCCCTTTTCCAAACAGACTAACAGGGTATCTGACCTCCTGCCGGTCAGTGCCTTTGTTAGTCCAACAGCCCACCCACAAAACACAATCAACAGCACAGCCCACCCACAATAAATGGTTACTACACCGGGGTAGAGGAGAAGCTTGTCCATATCTAGGGGCCTCAGCACGGCTGTGCTGGGTACGGGTATGCTGACTTGGTGGGTTGCTGAGTGGGCAGAGACCAGCAGTACTCTGCCCTGGTGCCAGCGCTACTGGGAAGGTAGCCTGGTTGAAGCCTGGTTGTTGGAGGGGGAGACCGACTGTCTCCCCTTTAGACACACAGCCCTGCTGCTGGAGACCGACTGTCTCCCCTTTAGACACACAGCCCTGCTGCTGGAGACCGACCGTCTCCCCTTTAGACACACAGCCCTGCTGCTGGAGACCGACCGTCTCCCCTTTAGACACACAGCCCTGCTGCTGGAGACCGACCGTCTCCCCTTTAGACACACAGCCCTGCTGCTGGGGGGCAGAACCGACCATCCCTACCCCCTGTGCTGTACGTGCAGAGACCACGGTCCCATCTGCACAGTTGTGGGGCTTACTGTCTCCCCTTTGTACTTTAAGCTGCCTCTGGGGAGAGGGGGTAACAAGCTCCTCTCCCATACATACTTCCAGCCGCGGGGGAGGGAGACCGACTGTCTCTGCTCCCAATACAGAGTCCTGCTGCTGGGGAAAGGAGACTGGGCTCTCTATTCCCGGTAAGACACTCTGCCGCTGGGGAATGGAGACTGGGCTCCCAATTCCCTGTAATTCGTACTGCCGCTGGGGAATGGAGACTGGGCTCCCAATTCCCTGCAATATCTCCCGCTGGGGAATGGAGACCGGACTTCCAATTCCCAATAAATCACACTGCTGCTGCAATATCTCCCACTGGGGAATGGAGACCGGGCTCCCAATTCCCAATAAATCACACTGCCGCTTGGGAGGGAGGACGCTGCTCTTCTCTCCCTGCAAGGTACACTGCCGCTGGGGGACAGGACCAACTGTCTCTGCCCCCTGTAACTCAGCCTGCCGCTGGGGAATGGAGCTCAGGCTCCCAATTCCCTGCAATATCTCCCGCTGGGGAATGGAGCTCGGGCTCCCAATTCCCTGCAGGACCGGTGGAGAGACCTCGGTCCCATCTCTACCGGCCACCTGGGGTTCTTCCCAGTAAAACTCCACGATGTCTTCCCAGCTGAATGGGTCTGGTTCTGGCTCTGTCACCTTGCTGTCCTGCTGAATCTTCTCAATGGAGTGGAAGAGATCTCGGTAGTCCTGCTCCAGTTCCCACTCCAGGGTTGCTAGGTGAGCCAGGTCTTGCTCAATGTCGTGAGTGTCGTCCCAGTCATACCTGCTCTCCCTCCACTCCAAGAGATCACTGAACCGGGCTTGTGTAGGGCTCCCAAATTCAGGCTCTGAAAAAGCCTCCCATAACAAGCCAGGACCATCAAACTCCTCTCCCTCTGGCTTGTCATGCTCGGCTGTCCAGGGCAGGTACTGTGCCCCATACCACCAAAGCGCCTGGTATGCATCTTCCAGCCAAATCTCCTGCCATACCCGGTGTTCCAATTCCTTCACCCATTCATCTAGGGGCTGCTCTCCCAGGAAGGGCATCCGCAGGGCCACTTGCTTCTGCAACCGCTGCTCTTCACTGGGGAGACTCTCACCCCGCTGGTACTGTACATTATCCAGGGCCTGGTACCAGATGCCTTTCCTTAATGCATCCCGGCCATCCAGGTCCTCCTCCTCGTATGACACTGCTGGTTCCATGCTGTTGCTGTCAGGGTCGCTGTACTCAGACATGCGTTGCCCTCAAATTGTAAATCCACGGAATGGTGTCGCCTGTAGCTGTCCTGTAGTCTGTGGGAACGATCCCACCGCTGCCACCAATTGTAACGGACCGTTTTGCACAAAAGGGGAAAAAACCGCTTAGACGATAATCCCCCTTTTCAGAGACAGGCACAGCTACTGTATAATCACCAAAACTCACGAACCGCCAATAAGTGAATGCTCCAAACTCCCGAACGGCATACAAGGGAATAAGGTAGCACTTCAAATAAACGAACAGGAACCATACGAATAGCTGCTAGCAGGCGAACAGGAAAAGCTTCCAAGCGGCTTACACTCCTGGCAATCAGTCCTTAGCAGCATACAGTAAATCCCCCCAAAGACGAGACAAGGCTCCGTGTTGAGGGTCAAGCAGTGGTCTGTTTAATGAGGGCTACCTGCCCAGCTTTTATGCAGGTCTCCCACCTGGTGGACACTCCCCTAGGGGACCAAATGGGAGACTGTGACAAGGGACAGACAAGTATACAAAAAGGACACACAGTCACAGTATATTCCCACAATGCATCCTGGCTTCCTCCCCTCTGCCCTGGGAGATAATTGGGAAGTAATTCAACTATCTCCCAAGACAAAGGCAAAACTCCATTACACACGTGGGAACACAAAACCAGCATAACACTTTAAAATGCACAAAGTAACGTTTACTACATAAAACACCGACATGTAACATCCCCAGATAGCTCAGGTCTGAGTGCACATTATTAGGTGAATGGCACTCAGACTACACGAATACAGTTCAATCGCCATGGAGCCAAAGTCTTTACAGTCAGTTTCATACGAATGGGCTCCATGGGATTCCTATCTGGGGTATAAGACATTCACACAAAAATACCGAACACCGGGTCATTCGTGTGCTTTCACCGAACAAGAAGGGAGGTCGGCGGCTTCAGCGGTGTTCGCGCAAAACTGTGTCCGATTTTAGTTCCATGAAAATAGAGGCGAACACCGCTGTTCATTCGTATGGTTTAAAATGGCCGCGACCTCGTGTTCGGGATACGAACGGCGGCCACCCAGCGTTCATCAATTAAGCTGCGGTTAACCGCAGCTTCAGGGAGGTTAATTGCCGGCACACTCCAGCTCCCAGGTGGTCCAGTCATTCGTACGGTTGTTCGGTAGATTGAAACTACCGAACAACCGGCAGAAAAGCACGAATACAGCTTTTCTGCATGCAAAAATAAAGTCTTTTAAAAGGGGCCATAGTCCAAAGGCAGCAGGCGAGCAACCAGGCTTCTCCAATGCAATGTGGCGAGATTGGTCTCGTCACAGTGTCTGTGAGTTAAAATGGCCGCCATCCATTGTTCTCACCATGTGCTTCTGATACAGGAAATGGTGGCCACCCAGTAACTCCACAGTATGTCCCCAGATGGTTCTTAAAGGGCCAGCAGCCGCACAACACAAATCCATTATGCCCAAATCATGTCTTTAAAGGGCAATACATCCCAGGGGCCATAGTCACAGGGCAAGAGGCGGGCAAGCAGTCCTCTCCAGGCACAAGTGGCGAAGGGCACTTCGTCACACTTATTGTTCTTACGGTTCTCAATTTTAGTGACTCACAGTTAGTGACATTGGGTCTGTGATTTACTGACTGTCAGATTGCAGCTTAAACATCTGTATGGACTCTCATAAAACCACCTCTTCAGGCAGAGAATTCCATATCCTTATTGCTCTTACTGTAAAAAAAACTTTTCTTTTCCTTAGATGAAATCTCCTTTCTTTCAGCCTAAATGTGTGACCTTGTGTCCTATGTATAGCCCTGTTTATGAATAGATTTCCAGCTAAAGGTTTATACTGGCCCTGAATATATTTGTATAATGTTATATCCCCTCTGAGGCGCTGTTTTTCCAAACTAAACAGATTTAATTTTTTTAACCTTTCTTCGTAACTAAAATGCTCTATTCCTTTTATCAATTTTGTAGCTTGTCTCTGCACTTTTTCTAATGCCATGATATCCTTCTTTAGAACAGGTCCCCAAATTGCCCAGCATATTCAGGGTGTGGTCTTACCAGCGATTTATAAAGAGGCAAAATTATATTTTCATCCAGAGAATTTATGCCCTTATTTATACATGACAAAACCTTACTGGCCATAGCAACTGCAGATTGACATTGCATATTGCTGCCTAATTTGTTGTCTATACCAATTCCCAAATCCTTCTCGTGTGTGGTTATCCCTAGTTCACTAGCATTTAGGGTGTAAGTTGCTTGTGCATTCTTGACCCCGAAGTGCATAACTTTGCATTTCTCTACGTTAAATTTCATCTGCCATTTTAGTGCCCAGTCCCCCAATCTATCCAAATCCCTCTGCAGCAAAGCAATATCCTGCTCACATTTTATTACTTTACAAAGTTTTGTGTCATCTGCAAACACTGATACATGGCTTTCAATGCCTATTTCAAGATCATTTATAAATATGTTAAATAGAAGCAGTTCCAAAACAGAACCCTGAGGGACACCACTTACCAATTTTGTCCAGCCTGAAAATTTACCAGTTGTAACGGATCACCTGGCACCCCAACTGGGTACCTCCGTTAAAGGATGCTCCTAGCGTTTCCTGAGGACTCCAAGCACTCTGGCAGACACCACAATCACCGAACTGAAGGTAGGTGTGGGCCAGTTAGCTACTGCCTCTACCTTGGTTTGCTCTGGTCTCTGGCTCCCACACCCCACTCTGTGACCCAGGTACTGTACTTCAGCCATACCTAGATGGCACTTCTCTGGCTTCAATGTCAGGCCAGCGGCCTGAATCTTATCCAGTACCACCCCTACATGAACCAGGTGTTCCTCCCAGGACCCACTGTAGATCGCAATGTCGTCCAAGTATGCACAGGCAAATTCTTGGAAGCCATCCAGGAGTCTATCCACCATACGTTGGAAGGTAGCCGGTGCATTTTTCATCCCAAAAGGCATGACCTTAAATTGGTACAGACCAAATGGGGTGACAAATGCCGACTTGGGGATAGCATCCTCAGCCAGGGGGATCTGCCAGTAGCCCTTACACAGGTCTATGGTGGTCAGATAGTGCCCCCTGGCAATACGATCTAGCAATTCGTCTACCCGGGGCATCGGGTAGGCGTCAGTGGTGGTCCGCTCGTTGAGCCGCCTGTAGTCCACACAGAACTGGGTGGTCCCGTCTTTCTTGGGCACCAGGTACTCTTTCAGCATGTTCACATGAAAGGATCTCTGAACCCTTTCATCTGTACAGCTGGCTATCAAGTAAGTAGTATCGCAGATCTGCGCTACCACTCGGTACGGGCCCTGCCAAGATGCTTGCATCTTGTTGGCCTTCACAGGTTTGAGCACCAATACCTTTTGCCCAACCTGGAAGACCCGCTGTCGGGCACCCTGATCATACCATCTTTTCTGTCTCCCCTGGGCTGCCTGGAGATTCTCCCTTACCATCAGGGACAGTTTCTCCATGCGGTCCTGGAGTTCCAGAACATATGGCACTATGGGGGTCCCCTCCTGCTCCGTCTCCCCCTCCCAGTGGCCCCGGATGAGAGCTAGGGGTCCGCGGACCCGTCTCCCATACAGCAACTCAAAGGGGGAGAACCCAGTAGATTCCTGGGGCACCTCTCTGTAAGAAAACAACAGATGAGGCAGGAACCTCTCCCAGTCTCTGCAAGTATCTGTAAAGGTCCT